ATCACTATGCCTATTACAGCTGCATGTACCATGTCAACATCGATGTCACCAACAGTCTTTCAAGTGGCATATTTCAATTCAACGAAACCCTCCAGTACACATGAAACTTTTAAGTATGCCCTCAACCAAAAACCTGCTAGTGTCAAGTCTGGGGATCATGATGGCCACTTAAACTTATACCCTCGACTTTTGACTTGATCTTCAGTAAAAGTTTCCAGCTGTAAAGTCTTTACTTCACATGCAACATCGGGCAGAGCACCATCCTGCTTGAAGGTGATGATAGGTAATGCATGTCTTTTCTGCAGTGCAGGCAGAATATAGTCATGCAAAAGCGTAACATACCGTTCTGTACTGACTGTATGGGTTTTCCAGCCAGATACAGACAACACTTTTCAAAAAAGAAAAGTCCCAGAACAAAAGGTGCAGTGAAACTATACCAAACAGTCCATTCCATGAAGAGAATGCAGTGGCTTGGTCAGGTAGTCACAAGGGTTTGACTTCCAAATGTGTGACTGTTTTGCATACTGATTTCACCACGCAAAAATGGGCTCCATCAATCCTCATGATATTTGGCAAACATTGTGGGTCGTGTTCCATTTTTGCTGGTGCTTATGTAGCAAAATTTATTTTTTGATTTGTATCTGCCAATAATAACTGGTCAAGTGCCTGTATTTTGTATCATTGTTTGTCTATTATTTGTTATTTTGTAATTCATGATTCTAGAATCCCCATTATTTTCCCTACCTCACGAGCATTGCTACTCCTCATTGATATCTTGGTCACCGATTCTTTCGTAACACTTCGTACAACATGGATGCAGCCCAAATTTAAGGATGTTTTGGCACTTTGTGTACAGTCATTAAAACATCATACTTAATTCAGTATCCCATTCAATGAAATAGGGCTGTTTTGTGCCTTTAGTCCTTTTCCTATATGAAACTTTTGCGGTGTTATACTTGTGAATTCACCATTCTTGTAGAAATGTTTAACCACTAACACTCAACCTGGTAATGATAGCATGCTGCCAGCCTCAAATGATGAGTCCATTTCCAGGGAGATATTTTACTGCTAACCTTATTTGCATAAAATGTTCCAGTATGAAACATGAGTGCCCCCTTATTTTGTATGTGTCCCAGTATGACACATGAGTTATTTTTGGAATCATGTTTTTTAATACATGGAAATCCTGTGGTCCTATTCATGCAAACTAATTTTTTTTTCCTAACATTACTTCTTTTATTATGAATTTTTGAAGTTTGTATGAATTTATGACACACCCTCCTGTATTCATTGAAACACCTAAATATTAGGTCAGTTAATAAGTTTGTGCGTATTAAGAGTATGCTTGGAATTCACTATGATGCATTTACTAAAGCAATACAATTTTGAACCTGTTGAAACTTGTCATTGTTTGACTAACATATTATTCAGTTCGTCACCAGCTTTTGTAAATATCGAACGCATTTTAGTACCCATAGAAGATGAATATGCTAGATAATCAGTACAAACGTGCTGTGCTACATTTTTTATTTTTGTGTGGTGAATCTACCAGGTTTGCAGCGATAAAAATTAAAGTGTGCATGGCTGAAACATGTACTAGGACTTTAAGAAGCATGCCCAGAAATGGTTTAAGAACATGCTATTTAGTGGGTAAGGACTTGCCCAGAAATGCGGTTTAAAAAATTTAAAGTTGGAAAAAGCAGCATTGATGATGAACCCCGCTCAGGATGTTTTGAACTGTTAGAACCAAATCAAATGATTAATTCAGAAGTTTATAGTGAATAACTCTGCAGTGTAAACTCAGAATTGATCAAAAAATGCCCACGATTGGTGAATATCAAGAAAGTGTTGTTTCATCATGAAATGCTAGACTGCATACGGCTCAACAATGCTGCAAAAAAATTAGTGAATTTAATTGGAAGCTTTTGCCACATCCTGCTTACTCCCCAGATATTGCCCTAAGTGATTTTCACTTATTTCATGCCTTACAATTTTTTTTTAATTGGGAAAAAAAATTAAATTTTAACCAGGATGTACACAATGAACTTTCAAGTTTTTTTGCATCAAAACCAGAGTCTTTCTACAGCAATGGCATAAAGAGATGCCTGTAAGATGACGAGACATTGTCTATAATGGAGAAATATATATAATTGATTAAAATGTGAAATTGTTTTTTTTTTTATATTAATTAAAAATTTACCAAAGAATGCACACGAATTTATGGACTGACTCAATAGTTACTAAGTTACTAATAGCAGAAAGGTTAATGTTTCCCCCTTAAAATTGTCTTTTACATTTTGCAAGTGTGGAACACTAGGAATTTCATTATTCATTTTTTAACTAAAGCTTGTATACTGTTCTGTTTCAAAACCCTGGTAAATTCTTAATAAAAAAATCTTGATATTAGTAATATATTTTTATGGAACTTAAAACATTTACAAGCATTAATAATTCAGAAGTCAAACAACAAAAATCAGCGTTATATTTTCAAAATTTTCACAGAACTAGTTTCAATGGTTTTATCGAACCACCATCCTCATCTGCAAAACCGCAAATGAATAAGATAGGAAATAATGATTAGATAAGATAAGAAAGCCTGGACAAGAATAAGCAAGTGGCGTCGATGTTGGAGAAACCAGAACTAAAACATAATTTCTTTAAAGGCCACAGGCAAAGATGGATTGGAATTAGGATCGGTAACTAGAACAGAGAAGGTTTTTTTTTAATGTGAAATGCCTCTAGAAAATCCAGTTCTCCAATGGAAGATGTTTTTTGAATAATTTTGGCTGCAGAAAAATTTAAAGTGTGATTTTCGGACCAACAATGTTGAGCAACAGAAGACTTCTGTGTTTCCTTTTTTCTAACATATGCCTCATGTTCCTTGACGCAAAATTTTAAGACTCTCTTAGTTTGGCCAATGTAAATTAAACCACACTGGCAAGGAATCCTATAAATACCCACCCCAAGAATTCATATCCAGAATGGGGTCCTTGAGTATGGAACTGGAATTTTATTGATGGGAGAAAAAAACAACCCGAAAGTTAAATTTCTGCAAAATATGTGCAACTATATAGCTAATTGATGGAAAGAAGAGAATGACAACATAATTTTTATAATCTCCTAAAACAAGAGTGTGCCTTTTAGTATGTTGAGATGAGAATTTTTTAACTGCTTGATTAATAATGTTGGGTGAAAAGCCCCTGTCAATAGCTACTGCTTTTAAAATAATTTAGTTCTTCATCAAGGGCTAGTTTGGAGGAGCAAACTTGAAGAGCACGGAAAACATAAGAATAAAATGAAGCTAACTTTTGCTTAGTCGGATGACATGATTTAGAGTGTGAGTGTGGTGGAAGGGAAACCGATGAAGGTTTACGGTAAACCGTAGTACTGAAGTTGGATGTCTTACGTGTGACCAGAATGTCGAGAAACGGAAGAGAATTGCAAGTCTCAATTTCAGAAGTGAACTGAATAGCAGGATCAATAGAGTTCATTGTTGAAAGAACTTTATTTAAATCATCTTTATTACCTTCAAACAGGGTAAAAAGTATCGTCTACGTAGCGGAACCATGCCGGGAAGTTTAAAGTTTCAAACAATTTTGATTCATAATAATGCATGTAGATATCAGCCAGGATGGGACTGATGGGGCTTCCCATGGCTAATCCCTCAGTTTACTTGTAATATTTATTTTGGAAAACAAAATGTGTTTGTTTTAAACAGAGTTGAGTGAGAGAAATTAGCTCATCAATTTCGATGCAAGAGAAATGAAATTTACGAAGTCTGGTTTCTAGACATCTTAATAAAGCTGAGGGTGGTGGTTTGGTAAAACCATCAAAACTAGTCCTGTGAAAATTTTGAAAATATAACGCTGATTTTTGTTGCTTGACTTCTGAATTAGTATTTGTTCGGCGTGTTAGTGTGTCTTAATTTACAAGCACGTTTAGAAATTAAATAAGTACTGTTATCACATAATGGTAGTTTTTAGGAATTCAAACATAATCATTCAAAATAATAATTCAATAATTCAAACATTGAGTAACTGAAGTGTCATAGATTTCATAATTAATTTTCCAAGGTCATACTATGGTGTTTGTTATGTTTACACTTTTTCTTCTCAAAACAATAATTTAATTAATGCCTCTTTATATCTTGAGTATTTATTAATGCATACAACAATGCATTGATGATTATCTAAACTACATTAATAGCAACTGAATTATATACAATAATTGCTAGATTCGCAATGTAATTCTTTTTAACTATTGGCTTCCACAAGCTCTTCTGCTATTCAGATCTCTCTCTAGGTCTCCCTTTCAACAACTGTTTTTCACTACCTCTCTGGCTGAGAGCTACCATTTTCTTGCATGCATTGCGTTGTAGTGATGTCACCCATTCATCACAGTGTTATAGAATGGGGGAAAAATTCTTAGCAGATTTTAGTAGAGAAATTAAATGTTTATCTAAATGAAAGCTGAATATTGACATTGAAAGAAAACGAAACAGATGTGCAGTTCTTAGAATATAATTATGTTGTAGAATTTAAAAAAAAAAAAAAAGTGTTTGATTGAGAAAGAAATTTTAAAAATTTGACTCTGATGTTAAAAGTAAAATAACTTTTTTTAATATATAATGTAAAAGAGTAATCTCCGCAATTAATAAGTCATTTATATTTTCATTTTTTTAATTTTTTGGCATTTAATTACTGAAAATATTCTTAATTTATTATGGTATTGAGCAAATAGGTATTTTTCTATTATCAGAGCCGAATTCAGAGATATATGTATGTATGTATGTATGCATGTACACACACACACACACACATATGCACATACATACATTTCAGTATCCAGTCCTGATAACAGAGAAGTACAAATAAATGTAATTTATTTGTGTATTAAATATATTAGTATTTTTATTTTATTATTTAAATAAGAAACACTGCGAATAGATGTTTCTTTAGAATGTCTTTTACTTATAGTTCATTTTTTTAATCTTCTTGCAGGAGATATTTGAAGCTCTTTGTGATTTGGATGAACAAAATAAGTCATATATATTTGAAGTAACACGCAATACAACGAAACTGCATAACTGTATGGCAAAATTGCTGGCACATTCTTTGCAGCGCTGTGCTCAAAAAGATACGTTCTATAAGATTCGACTTCCCATGTCAGAAGAGCTTGATTGAATAATGTTTAAAAATGTAGATTACTTTGCATATATATTTAAATTAGATGAATACTTAAAATAAAACTTTTTTGATTTTTATGGTATAGTTTTCATTTGATTTTGTTATTTGAACTTTATTTTCGTTGTAACATGTACTTTAGTTTTCTGATATTAAATTTTTTTATCACAGTTATTAGTCAGTAGTGAATTAAAAGAGAAAAATATTTTTTCATATGTAAAATATATGAACTAAAAAGAGCCTTTGATCTGTATGTAGAATAGTAGCAAAAATTCTTTTTCTGATTGAGAATATTAATATTTGATTATTATCTTAGTGCAGTTTATTTGTTTTAATTCTTTACTACATCTGTCTGTGTTGGAAATAATTATTATTCATAAATAATTTATTAATGTTTGCTTAAGTTTAATTGGATGTGAATTGAAAAATCTTTATCAAAACTCTTGCTACCAAACTTTTATAAGGCTGTGCAGACTATTATTTGATTTGAATTCAAGCTGATCCCTTTCTTTTTGTATTTGAATAATATATTATACATGTATAGACATTTGAATTCAAGCTGACCCTTTTCTTTTTATATTTGAATAATGTTTTATACATGTGTAGACATTTATCTTAAATTTTTCAGTGCAATATTGCAAGATCCTTTGAATATCCATACTGCACAGTAAAACTCAATTATTTAAATTTTAATGAGTTTAAATAAATTGTTTTATGTAGAATATAAAATACAATATCAACATTGGATATAGTATTTTCAAATTCCAAATCTTAAGCGTGGAAAATAGAATCACCTCAATACAGATAAAAATAATGTTTTTTTTTTTTTTTTTAATTTTATTTTGTGTGTGCGTTTCACTATTTCCAATCTTAGAATCTTTAGCAGAAAATGATATGAAATGAAATTAAAATGCAACATTGATAGAATGGACAATAAGGATACAGAGCTGCAACTCTTCTGCTTTTAACGAGAGATTCCCATTTTTTCATCCTGTCTCCTGGTCTCCTCATAAATTACGAGATCTCCCAATTTTTGATTTATTTCAATTTAGATTTTCTCTTTCAAAAGTAATTGTAGAAATATTGAGGATTAGTATGAAGAAAAAGGAAATCTCTGAAGACAGTTTTGATGAAATATGCTAAAAAAGCTAAAGTAGTGGCAATGATTTCTTTATAAAAATAAAATTTTGTAAATTCTCTCTCCCTTTCATAATGATTTTCAGCATAAGTTTTAAATGTGTTTGTTTTGAACTATAGAAGAGATTTATAAACTTTTTATAATGATTTCATCGAGATTTAATAATTAAATATTTGCCCTTTTTCCTTTAAATCTGTAAATGGTATTTTTTGAAGTTTATCTGTGCAATTTTATGTGTTCTAATTATTAATTTATTTTTATCATGTATAGAAATGCTTTGATAAATAAAAAGCTTTTCTTCCATTCTCAGAATTTTATCAGTGTAAAATTTACTAAATAAAAATATGGAATGAAATTAATCAAAAACTGCACCATACAATTAAAATTTAGAATGATGGATTAGGCATCAGATTGGTATAATATATGTCAAAATCATATTATAGCCAATTTAATAATATGAATACATAAAAAGATTTTTAGTTCAATTTTTTGGGTTGGTATTCTTTTAAAATTGCATCTCGGTTCAGCATGAGTGTGTGTGTGATTATGGCAAAGCCTCGAGGGCTATTTGCCTAAGGGAAGGAGTGCCTTCATGGAGAACTTTCTAAGGGAAACTGGCATATACACGTTACACATGGGGAAAACCACGAAAACGCTTACGCAGCCAGCCCATTTGTGGGATTCGAACCTCGAAGCAAACTACCAGTGTTCATCGACTTTACCGCTCAGCCGCTGGTGGGCTGGTGCAGCATGAAAAATGCCCCTATTTTGTATTTCAGAATTGGCAAACTATGAAGATATCTGCTGCATAACTATGCTGTTCGGTCTGTGTGCGCATCCCAATACTTGCATCTGCGCACACATCAAGAGCCACTTGGATAGTTTTGTTATGTGATGCTATGCTAAGTTTTTAGAGAGCATTCATGGCTGCAAGTGATCATGAGCAGTGCAAGCTAATGAAAATAAAATTGTTAAAGATTAGTTACAGTCCATGTGCACATATGCCTTGCATATTCTTCAGAGCTTAAACCTATTGAATATGCCTAAGATCCTTTTTTGAGATGTGTAATACAGAGGTATACTTGAATGTAGTGAAAACCACTTTTTTCAAGTATACAGACACTTAGAACTGCCTTTCAAGAATATTGAGAAATCGCAATAGTACTTTGGAACAATTTTGTCTGAAACATGCAACATCCGTACAGAGTGTTTGTGTTGTTGAAGTTCATGGAGCCCATACTGCCTACTGATAATGTAAAGTCTGTTAACATGCATGTGGAAGTTTGCAATTTATGGTACCCCTCTTCTTTTCATTATCTTGTTCTTTAACCTGGTCTGAAATTTATTTTTACTATTTGAATTTGATGCCATAATTCACTTGTTGTATTGGTATGTTTAATTTCTTGGAATAATACCCACTATGAATTGTACTACAACATATTATTGTTCCTTATCAATTATCAGGCAGTGAAATTATTATTCTTATACTGGAAATAAGATAATGTAAGTCAGTGATTTCAAACTCAAAGTGCATGTGGGACAAATGCATGATCTAAAAACAGTTAAGTTTTCAGAGGAAATTTATTGAGTGGGACAAAATGTGAGAATAAATAAAGACAACTTATTCTCTTTCTTTTATTTATTAAAATTTTCTTTGTTGCACAGAGAAAAAATAGATATATTTAAATGTAAGTAATTATAATATTATTTGTTTCTTACTAGATCTTTCTGTTGAACACCTTGTGATGTTTTGATTTCAATAAAGTTTGTAATCTTGAAGGAAAATTTCTAGAAACTATCTTCATCATGAGTTGTAAATGCTCATCAATCAGGCGGGTTCTTTTTTAGACTTATTAATTTTCAACTGCAGAAAAAACTTTTCCCATAAGTTTATACTCCCAAACAAACCAATTATTCTTATTACAAAAATTCATAACTGAGAGTATTTATCTTTTGACAAGTATAAATATGTAATCTTCAAATCTCTGAATAAGATTTATACCAATAATATAAATTAATTATCTTCATTTATGAATTTTCTGGTGCATTGTTTATGTTTGTTTTTAATGAAAATGAAAATAAAGTTAACTCGGATTTCTTGAAATTTCTTTGCAACAAATACATAATTAAAATACTTTTGCAGGCCACATAAAATTGCTTCTGGGGCTACCAGTTTGAGAGTAATGATGTAAATAATCTAAAGTTTGTTAGACGTAGTTTAATAATTTTCGATTGCAACCTAAAGCCTATCTGTTGTCAGATGAACAATGGAAATATAATTACTGATATAATAGTGTCCTTTGCTCTTCTCCTTAACAGGCATCCTCCCACTTGATAGGGATATACATAAGCGAAAACTGACTGTCCTATGATAAATAGGAGATGCCCCTCATCATTCTTCAAATGTCAACAGTGATAAACATGTAATTTTATTAAAAGGAGTAGAGTCAAACTACAGTCACTCGCAGTTAAGTTTGGCTGTCCATATTAGGTGGGCAAGCAGGCTTGTAAACTTTCCTTAGGAACAATTAATGAACTATCCTACACCTCATCACCCTTGATGCACCATTCCTTGAGTATACGGATTAAATTTATCTGTGCACCATCGGATCGACTCAACTAAATCCCTGGGTGCTAGGACTTGTCCTGAAAGACACTATGTAGGATGTGGAGCTTATGAAACCAGTGAAAAGTTGGTTGTCATATTACCCACTTGAATGGTTGATTCCACTACCCTCTGGGACAGCATAGGGCCCTTTTAGCAAAAATTGAGCTTGTGTACATTATACTGCAGAATATAGTACTAAGCTAGTATATGCAAGCCCTTGAGGTAAAAAGGAGTAGAGTTTGAAGTCAAAAATTAAATTTTGAAAAGGACCATTAAATCACGAAAAAGATGCATTTTTTCTTCATTTCATTTTTAGTAGGTTGAACGAATATGTTCTTGAAAGAAATCTTCTGAACTTCTTACAAATAATCAACAAAAGGGATTCTTTTAACATGGCAGTAAGAATGAAATAATGCCACGTAAAAGAGAAAATATGGCATACTCATGAGAAACCTACAATTGATGCTGTGAGTCTGTATCAACACAATGAGTAAATTATAGATATTTCTAGCTTCAAAAAAAATGTTAATGTTTAGTATTATCTTATAGAGAGACTTTTACATTTTGTTTTATAGAAGTAAAATATTTCATTTGTTTTAATTGTCTGATCTGTGTTAAAATAAAAATCCCTTATTTCAATAAATAGCAAAGAAAGTCTTTTTCTAAGATTTCTTTAGAGTACGCAGATAAGCAGTAGCCATACTTTGTCCGGATGAAAGAAGAGTATACTCAATATTTTGCTTATGTTCGCCAGATGTCGCCACTAATCAATTCATTCTAGCAGTGAAACTTATTTTCAAGTCCAAAAGGGCTATTAGTCTCGAAATTGGATTTTGCTTCAAATCATAATAAATGCGTCCTTTCACTTTTCATTTGAGTCTTGCCATTTGGCAAAATCTAAGATGTTTATCTTTCAGTCTGTTGTGTATCAACAAACTAAGCAATAGATGCTGTTCTTAATATTCATTTCTTACACTTTTGAATCGGATTGATTTGAGTAATAAAAATGCATTTAATTCATGATATATCTGCTTAAAAATATTCAATATTTTCGTAGAATGAAGTTATATGCTTTTTTTGTTATTTATTTCATATCATATTTTGTAAAACTTTCTGTTCGTCTGAATTTTGATTAACACACTCAACTATGTAAAATAAACAGTGGCGACGTTGTAGTGGAATAAAAAATTTTCTCTCGAGCGAACGAGACTATCTATGGAAAACTCGAAATACATGCTGTTTTAAAACATTTTGTGATTATGCTTTTGAATTGAATTTATTCGGCGTAATTGCGAAGAACGTAATAACTAAATATTAAATAAGTAAAGTTAACA